GAGGGTGGACTCCATGGCAGCTAAAAGTTACTCTTGCTGTTACTTTCCTTTACATTCTGTTATTTTTATTTTTATTTTTTTGCTATTCACTTAGCTTTCTTCTCTGATGATTAGGTATCAACTACCTCTTTGGCCGTTCATTCACTGTGACTTTTCAAAATGAAAAATATTTACTGAATGAGAATGAGACATTTTTGCATTATTTCTGAACTTACATAGCTGTGTGGTGCTTTCTTTAGTCAATTTTATTAACGGAAGCAGAAGAAAAGCTAACCTTCCTTATATCAGAGATGGGGTGTGAAGGCCACAAAGACCTCTCTCAGTGTCCTGCTGGCGACTTGGAGGTTGTTGCGGAGGCCAGGCTTCTGATGGCTGCAGTTGCTCTGCAGAAACACCGGACAGCATACAGGTGAGTGTCTTCATGAACAGAAGGAGTTTACATTTGACAAGAATTTCTTCCTTACCCTAATTTGTTAAATATACTTAAATTTTATGTTAAGGTATAGAAATTTCTAGAATATTATAGTGCATTTTATTTTATTTTTATTGTTCAGGGACTTTTTCATAAGTTACTACACCTAAAACCACAACTGGCAACAAAGCAATTGCTTTACTAAAGCACACAGCTAGGATGTTTAATTCATATAAAGAATGTACAAAATAACAGTTTTGTGTTTTTATTTTCTTTTTAAAGGTAGCACCTAGATTCCTTATATCTTTTTTTTAACTTTTATTGATTTTGTTGTTGTTGAGAATACACACAGCAAAACATCCAACATTCAACACTTTTTGCATGTACCATTTAGTGACATTGATACGTTCTTTGAGTTATGCAACCATTCTCACTCTCCTTTTCTGAGTTGTTCTTCCTCCATTATCATAAACTCTCTGCCCTGTAAGGCCTTATAAGTCTTTGCCAATACAATCTATGAACATATATTTTTTAAACAACAAAATAAAAAATATTAAAAATGTAACATTCTAAACTTTGTTGTGCTGAACCATTTAAGAAAGCTTTATTGTGGCTGATTAGAAATGGAAAGTTGTTAGTTTCTCATTTGTGCTGCTGAACTGTTCTGCTGATCTGTTGAGTATGATGAGCATAGAGAATTGACCATTGGATTGACTAGTAACATGAGGTCATTGATTCTTGACAGGAAAAACTTCTGAAGGGGATGGGGAATAGAACATGTTTAGAGTGGGTTTATGAGAGAATGGGAGGAGAGAAATTGGAGTCAGTCAGTAGAGAGAGTTCTTTTATGGAGTTTTACTTTAAAGGTGAGTAGAACAACATGGTGATAGCATTTGGTAGAAGTAGGATCAAGACAAGTTTTCTTGAGATGGGGAAGATAATACTTTGTATGTTAATAAAAATGACCCAGTAGAGAGGGAAATTTTTATGTTCTGATATAATTGGTAGATTATACCAAGTAGAGAAGAAGCCTAGTCCAGTTTTCCCTGTTTTTCTAATATTGAGCAAAAGTCTTCTCTTCCTTGTGATTCCAGATGGGCTTTAGGGTGGGGAGTAGCAAGGAAACTAACTGCCTGCCCAGAGTAGAGATGGAAAAAGAGTCACAGAAGAAAAATTTGTTCTTCAGACCCGTGCCATTAGCAGTTGTGGGGTCTAATAAGGCACTGCCTGTGAAATGAATAAACTGAAAAATTAACCTTAAAACTGGTCCTGACATTATAGGACTGGAGCAGAGGAAAACAAGGACTGATTCATAATGGCCAGCCCAGGAAATGTAAGACTCCCATGGAAGTTAACTCCCACTAAAGATAAGCATACCAAAACAAAAAACCAAACTCACTGCCCTTGAGTCAGTTCTGACTCTTAGCGACCCATCCTTGGGTTTCTGAGGAGGTATCTCTACAAAAGTAGATTGCCCAGTCTTCCGTCTGAGGAGTGGCTAATGGGTTTGAACCACCCGCCTTCTGGTTAGCAGTCAAATGCCCATAGGCACACCACCACCAGAGCTCCTAAAGATAAGCATATAGTCCCCCCCTTTTTAAGCCTCCTTCATGTTCTGAAACCAATGCACTAAATTCCATTCATTGGTTTCAGAATATGAAGGGGGCCTAAATTTTGCCTTGTTATTATCTTTAAACAGGAGAAGCCTCTCTGAAGGTTTCCCAATGGAAAATAAGTAGAAATCCCCCTTGATTTTTATGGGGAATATATAACCATCTCATTACTATGAGCCTTGACTTGAAGTCCATTCAAGTCACATGATTAACCATATCTAAATCTGATGTATGTTAGCAACAGTAGAGGTTTATGGTAATTTATAGTTTTTGTGGTTCTTAAATAGTGATGAAAATTCATAAGGATTTGGAACAGTGATCTGTGGTCTACAGATCTCTAGGGGTCACAAGAGCCTTTCAACAGGTCTGCGAAGTCAGAACTATCTTTATAATAAAACTAAAGCATCATTTGCCTTCTTCATTATGTCGATATTTGCACTGATGCTGCAAAATCAATGGTGGTAAAACTGATGCCACCATGAATCAAAGAGGTGCCATTAGTGGTCATACTCTTCATGCCACATACTTGTGATGATTATTATTTTTTAAGTTGATGGTCCTTAAGAATGTCCTTATACAATAGTAGAATCAATTAAATTTATAAATATCTCTTAGGGATATGTAATTTTAATATTCTGTGGGAATACTAAATGAGAAATTTGCCTAATACACTTCTGTTGCATATCAGGCTGATGGTTAGCATATGTGTGATCAAGAGCTAAATGACTTGCTTTTTTCATGTAATACCATTTTTTAAAAAAAGAAATAAACTGGCAAGCCATGCTGATTCAGACTTGAGTATCTGGCAGACATTTTACTGAAAATGAGCAAAATAGCATGCCACTTCTAGGAAAACAACTGATAGTATTTGTTGCCAATAATAAAATTGGAACTTTCAAGGGAAATTCAAATTTTGGAAAACTTTTATTTACCTTGATGAGCTTGATAGCTTTCTAATACTTAGATTTTCTTTTTTTAAGGAAATTGATGGTAATATTAACAAATGTGATTTTTTTTTTCCCCGTAGTATACATTTTGTCACCATTTGAAGGGTTTATGTAACTCAGGGAAACAGTGTTTTACAAATGACCACTTCATGATGTTAGAAAACCCTGGTCAACAGATTCATTCAAAAAGCAAGATAGACCAATAGATTTTAATACAACAGAGTAGAAAAGATTGATCAATGTGAGGTATTTGAGTCTGTAATGCAATCACCTTTTAAGAAACTACTACTTGCCATGTTTTTCTGTAGCGTAAGAGAATTTTCATAATTATTTGAAGAGATTTCAAGTGAACAAGATTTCAACAATATAAATGGTGACTCTACACATGGACCTTGCCACATGGAATACACAGAAATCAAATCAACTATACCCGTGGAAAGAGATGATAGAGAAGCCCAATATCATCGATTAGACCAAGGCCAGGGCCAAATGGAGAACATTCTATCAACCGCTCATTTACAGGTTCAAGTTGAAGCTGAAGTAAATTAAAACAATTCTATGAGAGCCAAAGTGTGACCTTGAGTATATCTCACCTGAATTTATAGACCATCTTAAGAATAGATTTGACAAATTGAACACTTATGACTGAGACCAGATGAGTTGTGGGATGAAATCAATGATACCATATGTGAAGAAAGCAAAAGATCATGAAAAGAATTGGAATGAAAAGAAGACCAAAATTGGTATCAGAAGAACTTCTGAAACTTACTCTTGAAGGTAGAGTAGCTAAAACAAAAGGAAGAAATTATTATGTAAAATATCTGAACAGAACATTCCAAAGAGTGACATGAGAAGCAAAAGTCAAGTATTATAATGAAATGTGCAGAGACCTGGAGTTAGAAAAAAAAGGGAAGAACATGCTCAGCATTTCTCAAGCTGAGAGAACTGAAGAAAAAAACTAAAGCCTTGAGTTGAAATATTGAAGGAGTCTATAGGAAAAAATTGAATGAAGAAGTAAGCATCACAAGAAGATGGAAGGAATACATAGAGTTACTGTACTAAACAGAATTGGTTGATAGTCAAAATCAGGAAAGGGTTGTATGCTTTCACCATACTTACTCAATCAGTATGCTGAGCAAATAATCTGAGAAGCTTAACTCTATGAAGAAGAATGCAGCATCAAGATTGGAGGAAGATTCATTAACAACCTGGGAAATGCAGATGACACAACGTTGCTTGCTGAAAGTGAAGAATACTTAGTACTTACTGGTGAAGACCAAAGACTACAGCCATCACAAAAATCCTCGTAACTGGACCAAAAAGCAACATTACGATAAATGGAGAAAAGGTTGAAGGTGTCAAGGATTTCATTTTACTTGGATCCATAATCAATACCTATGAAACCAGTAGTCAAGAAATAGATGACATATTGCATGGGGCAAATCTGCTGCAGAAGACCTCTTTATTTATTTATTTATTTATTGTTTATTTATTTATTTATTTATATTATGATTTGGGTGAAAATTTACAGAGCGAATACCCTTTCCATACAGCAGATCACATACACTTTGTCTCATGACATTGACCTCAATTTAGCACAATGCAACATCTCCTCTCCCACTTCCTCTTGATAGGTACCACTTCCCTGTGACCATCCCTCCATGCACTCCTACCCCCTGAGCTGTCTCCCTGTGCCTGAGCAGCCCTTCTTTCTCTCTTGCTTTTTCTCTCCAAGGAGTGTCTCTAACTCAGGTAAATGCTCAACTAGTATGCCTGTCTACTGCTTGGCTGGAAGCTACAGGTGTGCATTCAGTTCCAGACCTGAAGGGCAGCTAGGGGCCATAGTCTCATTGGTTCTACCAGGCTCCATCTGGCCAGCAAAACCTGTTCCCCACTTTTTTTTTTTAATGATTTTGAATTTTGTTCCACGTTGTTCCCCCTGTCTACCCAGGATCTCCTATAAAGAGAAGACCTCTTTAGAGTATTGAAAGCAAAGATACCACCTTGAGGTCTTAGGTGTGCCTGCTACAATCCATAATATTTTCAGTCATCTTATATACATGCAATAGCTGAACAATGAAGTAGGAAGATGGAAGAAGAATTGATGCCTTTGAATTATGGTGTTGGTGGAGAATATTGAAAAAACCATGGACTTGAAGAAGAATGAACAAATCTGTCTTAGAAGAAGTAGAACCATAAAACACCTTAGAAGTGAGGATGGGGAGACTTCATCTCATATCTTTGTCCATGTTACCAGGAGACACTAGTCCTTGGATAAGGGCATCAGGCTTGGTAAAAGAAGAGGGTCAGTGAAAAAGAGGAAGACTATTGATGAGATGTTTTGACAGTCACTGCTACAAAGGGCTCACACATTGTGAGGATGGCACAGGACTGGGCAGTGTTTTGTTCTGTTGGACATGAGAAGGAAAGGACTCAG